TTTTCCATTCCTACAATTTCAATACAATATCATTTATATAGTGCCTTTCATACTGGGAGGATGTCTCAAAGTGGTTTAAAAAGCTGGCTGGATAAACCCGATGCGGGAGTTGGGAGTTGAAGAAGGTGGGTGGGAGGGTTTGCAAATGTGACCAAAAGTGCAGTTAAAGAGGTATGTATTGAGGCAGGCTTTGAAAATGGGGAGTGAGGAAGATATCTTCACTTCATATCAAGCTTCCTTCTTTCCACAGACAAATTTCTTCAGCCCCTCCCCTCACTGCAGTTGTAGCCAGGGGAGTGCTTGTTCATCTTATACAATGCTGTTTTAAACAGCTAATTATCCTTTTTTTTAAGGGAGTAAAACAACGTGCCATGAACTGCTTTGATGGATGTCTGTTTCACATATCCACGGCTTGGATGGGTAGAAAGAGAAGGAAAGGAAAAGATTACTGTCTTCCTCAAATTTTTTTTTAAAAATTTAAAATTTTGTCTTCTTATGCATTAACAATTGAATAAGCAAGCCAAACTAACCGGCAAAAGGGCTGCATAAATGGTTCCAGCTTTAAGTCAAAATTTCTTCACGTAGATTTTATTTTTAGAGAAATGTAATTGAATTCTTCATAAGACTATACACACAACTGTTCCTAAGAGTAGTATAGACTAGTTACTGCATTGGACAGTCAAAGGAGCCAGAGAGCCTATAATGTCTGTCTGAAATTTTCATTGAGTGTGGTGGACAACAACAGCTTGCATTTATATAGCTCTCTTCATGTAGGATAGCATCTCAGAGCTTCACAGAGCTGACCGGAAGCCCAAGCTGGGGATGGGGGGAGCTGAGGAAGGTGGTGAGAAGAGGAAGGGGAAGAGGGAGAAGGTGACCAATTTCCAGTCAGAAAGAAAGATCTTAAAGTGAGCTTTAAACGTGGTGGGAGAAGGGGCAAGGCAGAGAGACTCTGGGATGGAGCTTCAGAAAGCTAGACAAGAATGGCTGAAAGTTTGCCCGTGGTGGAGCAGTCAGGCAGGGGCATGAAGCAGGTGGGTGTTCACCGAATAGAGAGAGCAGCCAGGTTGGAAGAGTTGCAGGAGATCACAGAGTTAAGGCGGGTGAGGCTATGGGGATTTGAACATTAGGACGAGGATCTTGAATTCAGTTCCCTGGTGGATGGAGAGCCACTGGAGCTGAGACAATGGAGTGAAGCGCTCATGGAATAGAGTTCAAGCCGAGTTCCTTATCCAAGGCAAGCTGGAAGCTGTCCACGTGCATAAGAATGCCATGGTTTCGCCCTCTGCCTGGAATTGAACTCAGGTCTCTCGCTTGCAAAGCGAGTGCTCTAACCACTGAGCTACAGGAATCTCACTGATATCTTATCTATTCAAACCTCAGTGATACTCTGCATCCCAGCATTTAATTGTAAAAGTGCAGGTGGCCCAATAATATGGGAAAAGAACAGTGAATATGATTTGACTCTGCAGCCACTTTAGAGACACACAAATCCTGCTTGGCTCTAACCAGGTTCCTGTCTGCCTCAGACAAGTGGAGCATCCTAAAACTTACCACTCAAGCACTATGGTTTTCTTAATGCCAATAAGTCACAGTTCTGGCCAACATCAATGGAACATATCCCAGTGTCTGACTTTTACATAGTAAATCCGTGATGTGAATTGCAGCTGTTGTTGTATAGCCCATTAGTCACATATAAACAACAGATAATTTACTGATCTATGTCTGGCTCTGTTAGCATACAGATCCTTTAAGCTTCAGGTCCTTTAAGCTAGAAATAAAACGTGTTAAATTAGACTCTGTAAGTACACAAAAGATGATCATTTTTATAGACATTAAAATTTAATGTTTGATGCTTTTAATTGTTGGAATCCTGAGATTTTAAGGTTCATGTGAGCATGTTAAGGAGCTTCCAGTGTACAATGACACTCCAATAACCTCTCATGTATTCAATTATTAGTTTGCTAACCTCTAACTGATGTGTCAAGGTCTTGCTTGTTACAACAATTTAGTAATAAACTCCATTCTAGTCTACATTGATGTAAAATCAACTGAACAAAAACTATTACACATTAACTGCCTTTTCTTTTGTACTCAATAAAACAAGAATATGAAGTGCAGCTGCTATAGAAATTAATCGGATTAAATTTGATTGACAGAAGTCGTTTGGGCTTCTTTGGACAATTGTCTGGTTATTCTTGGCCATTTTCATTTAAAAGTGATTACAGATCTGGAATCCTTTCATCTGAAGCCCTTTCGTCCAAAAAGATATTTCATTTTATTGGGTTAGGCATCAATTTGAATACCTCTGGCTCAGTTTTTGAGATATCTTGGATTTTTTCTGCATTCTTTTCTGTAAATCTTTTTTATTCTCCACACAAAATCAACTGCTGTATGCAATTGGTCGCCGTATTTCACTCACAAAGTCAGCCAGTTCACTTTACAGTATATTCTGTGAAGCGCTTTGAGACGTCTTGAAGACATGATAAGGTGTTTTATTATTATTAAATGCAAGGATTATTATTATTATTTATCCCTACTCTGGCTCCATGTTATTTCTATAAATAATCCATGCAAGTAAATACTAAGTCTGGATTCTCAGTGTCCCAAAAGGAGTGCAAGAATTGATATCAAATTTATCAAATCGTGAGACTTGGGAGTGTATCATCAACTTTCTTTCTTGGCAGGATAGCACATATTGCTTGGTTGGATCCTGTCCATACTTGGTGCTAATACAATAACTAAATAATAGTTCTATAAATTGTAAAAAAATTCTATACAATAAATTTCTATGATTCAAATACCTTCAAGGTCTTGTATGTGCTGCCTCTTCTCCAATGCACTCTCACCGATTTAAGTGTGTGTGTGGTGGGGGTGGGGGGAGGGGGAAGGAGGGTGTTTGAGGGGTGCTGCTGTGGTTTCACAGAATCACGCAAGCGGCCGCATTTGAGAAACGCTGCTATAGTACAATATAGTTTACATTTATATTGTGACTTTCACATCAGGAGGCTGTCCCAAAGCACGTACACACTGCTGGATGAGTACTTGAGCGGGGGATGGGAGTTGAAGGGGCTTCTGGAAGAGGAAAGATGACCAAAAAGAGAGAGAGATGCCTTGAAGAGGGAGCAAGTCAGAGGGACTTCGGAATGGATATTACAGAAACAAGGGCAGAATGGCTGAAAGTCTGCCTGCCAATGCATAATTGAGTTACTAGTTACGAAACATAGGAACCTGTGTTTGTTGTGTAAATACAAATGTGTTTATGACAATTCAAGTTAATCCTTACTTCATCAACATTGAAAATTGAGCACCTGATAATTGGAAGAGATTTGATTATTTTAAAATCGTATTGCATATAGGTGTGCATCTCATTTTAGGTTAGAATCAAATCTGCATAAATATGAAAAGCTGAGTAAACCACATCCTAATCTAATTTCAAATGTCACTGGAGCTTTTAAAGAAAGTGGGTAGGGGAAGAGATGTTGATCTTTGCCATGGAAACAATCCGGCTTGTGAAGTATTTGGGCGTGCCGACATTCTTGCTGGAGGAATTCCTCTCACCACTACCAACCCCACCTGTAAAGTCTGACAAGTTGGAACAAAAACCTTCGTCTACTGGTTCCAGAAATTCTTGAAAGCTTTCTAGCAGATTGCACTCTAAAAAAGAAGCAATTTAAGTGGAAAACATTATTAGTTATCCCAAAGAACTATTATGTCAGCTTGACTGAGTTAACAGAAACTCTTGCCTCTGGGTCAGAAGATTTTAAGCTCCATGCCATAACATGAGCTCCTACACTTAGGCACAGCACTGTTTTGCTGAGAGGTGCTGGCCTTTGGATGAGATGTTAAATGAGGTGTCTTCTGTCCGATCAGGTGGCCGTTACGATCCTATGATACTATATTGAAAAAAAGAAGAGTTTCTTTCTCCTGGTGTTCTGGCTAAAAATTATCCAGAAAAATTGGTCATTCACCTCATAGCTGTTTGCGGTACCTTGCTGTGCGCAAATGGCTGACAGGATTGCCTACAATTATTCCTAAACTACACTTGTCAGCAATTACCTGTAAAAAGCACTTTACAAGATTTGACCCAATCAGGGACCATATCAAATGCAAAGATTATTACAATGTCCTATGTTGTAGTAACTGTAAAAGGCACTTCACAATTTTTTTTAGGCAATAATTACTCCCTTCGCCACAAAAACTACTGATGATTTTTCGAGCTATCAAGGTTCAATGTGTGAGGCATGCTGCAACAAGCTGGTGCTCTGTTATGTGTAATGTTAGTTCGACATGAGTTTATGCACCGTTTGCTGCAGACTGAGTTTCTCATCTACAATAGATTTTACAGAAGTAAAATTAAAAATTAAGTATTGTTACATTTCATAAAATAATATTTCATAAATGATAATTTCTTAATGTTTTATCAGAATGAGGGTGCCAATTCTTACAGAATGGAGTATTTTTCTACTTTCCATACTGAAAAAGAGAACCAAGCACTTCCAGGTCAGATCTAGTATGAACTTGATGCAGAGTAAAACTCTGGTGTGCAACCATAGTGTGTTTCAAATTCAACTTCTGAACAGCCCTTACCGCACAAATGCTATCACACCAGCTATTTTTCTCTCAGTGAGGTTACTGCAGAAATACAACTGTAGTGTCAGAGAGTTAGTTATGATTTTACCATGAGCATATCCATAGAAATATACACATTTATAACCATTGACTTGCCAACACTATCCTTCCAACAGTACAATCCTCTATAATCCGATTAGGTGTGACTACACTTTTCTTTTGAATTTGAAAATTGATTGATTGTATTGAGGATTGGGTGATTAAACTGGATTTTGTCTAGTTGTCTTCAGAGTTGCTTGTACAGGTAGTTTATTTTTTAAATGCATCAATTCACAAAATAAAACTGCATTACCAAACCTGTCAAGTATTTTTGTGTAAAGATGTACCATCCATCAACACTTGAGTAACCAAATGTAACTTATTCGCAGGTGACTGTGGAGATCATGTTGTGGTGGTAAATACGCAACACATTGCATTCTCTGGAAATAAATGGGAACAGAAGGTGTATTCCTCTCACAGTGGGTAAGTAAGAACATAATAAGAATAAATGAGCTGCAATATTAGGTCAGGGCCAAATAAATTTCATTGTGCTCAGCTGGCCTATATTTCCGTTATCATGTTCAATAATCCTTCTGGAGGATTGTGTTTATTGACCAGACTTCTCAACCTGGCTTCTTATATGTATTCCACCTTGAAAAAAAATGTAACTGTAGAAGCTCACAGACATTATGGCAGCCTGCACTTTTAAAGTATCTATGATGAATTGCAGTTGCCTGTTCATAATACAACTTGAGCACAATGAATTACATTTAAACAGACAAAGATGTATAAAATATATATAAAATTATTGTTATTAATATTGTTTGAGAAAATAAATAGACACGGTCCAGAAATTACTAAACTGTTTACATTAGTTGCAGGTATGTTAAATACTTGAACAGTATCTGCAATAATTGTGCTACTATAGTTACTTACTAAAGACCTTTGGTATTGACAGATCTTGGAAATGCTTTAGCATTGTTTTAATTTTCAAGTTACCCAGGTGGATTTCAGCAAGTGACAGCCGCTCAACTGCATCACAAAGACCCCATTGCAGTAAGTACTGAACTGCTCGATTATAATTTATTATTCTCCCTCAGGACCTAAACACAAATAATTCTAAATTGCATTTGAATGTAGTTCAAAAATCCAGGTGGTGAAACACAGGATTTGTTTAGAAAACATTGTAAATATCTGCAATTCTCTTTTGGGACACAGCAGAAAATCAATGTTGTATATGTCCACTGGTGGGTGCCTCGGTAACCCGAGAACATTGATTTAAAATAGTTGTTAAAAGAAACAGAGGGGAGGTGAGGAGAATTTTTTTTACACAGCGAGTTGTTTGAATCTGGAACGCATTGCCTGAAAGGGTGGTGGAAGCCAATTTGATAACAGCTTTTAAGAGAAAATAGATGATTATTTGGGGAGGATAAGTTTGCACGGCTCTGGGGAGAGAGCAGGGGAGTGGGATTGAATTGGACAGCTCTTTTCAAAGAGCCGGCACGGACACGATGGGCCGAATGGCCTCCTTCTGTGCTGTATAATTCTATGATTCTACGAAATCCAGAATAGGTGAAGCAGACGTGATAGTGAGATAAACCATTGGAAAGTGCTTCCACATAGCACTGAAGATAAAGCCAGAATACAATTTATCATGTAGATTTGGTGCACTAAAATGCCATTTTAATATTAATATTACCAATATTATAAAAATGCTATTTTACCCATCTCCACTTGATGTAAAAATGTTTAATATTTATTATAAAAATGTTTACAGCCTTGCCTTTGAGAGATTTTCTTGCATGACCCGAAATTATCTCTGAACCTGTTATGTTGAAACTAAAGCCTTGTGCTTTTTCATGTAATCTATAACTGAACACTTGGGAGTGCTATTTCCATACTTCAGTTATCAGCTCATAATGAAAATATTCTGGATAATAGTTCATTTTGTGATCACACTACACCACACTTTGTTGTGTAATTTGTAATAATCAATCACTGAGACAGCAATCCTGGATACAATCCTGCACAATTCCCATTTGTATTGGATGTGCTCTGTGCTACACCAAACAGATTTTCTAAATCCATCACAGAGATGTCCAGTTTAAGTAAATGCAGATGGCTACGTCATTGAACACCATTATATCAAAAGAATTTGTGGTGTCTTGTTTCACTTGTTCAAAAGTGAAAATGGTGAACCCATCTGCCTTTTCCAACCTCAACATAATAAGCTTTCAGTCGTTTTTGTTCAAGAAGAAACTCTTCAGTTCTTCCTCCACATTTGCAGAAGTGAAGTTTACAAAAAGACATAAGCAGTGATCTTGAACTTTTTGTAACTTTCATTTTTTGTAGACTGTGAGAAGTTTTTCAGAATGATGCACAAAAAAAGGTGCCACAAATGATTTTGTCACGCTAATAGATATTAAATTAGCGATATCTGTTGTTTTATTGTTCACTGCCAAAATGCCACAGCACAGTAAGAACTGTTGTCATTGCCCATGTCTAACCTATTAATCATTGTGCAGGTATTAAATAACTTTTGTGGTATTTCTGAACTCTGCACATTCATGCACTGACATACTGTGACATGCATTGTAAATAGTTGGTGCTTTCCCCATAGTTCTGCACATGGTGAGTTCCCTCCCACTTTCAGAGGGACTGCCTTGAAAATCTACTTTCTTCCTCTCTTGGCTTTCTTAAGAGGAGTAAAACTTTGAAGTGAGTTCATATGACCTACTTCCAGGCTTCGTCTTTATTAATCAATCATTTTGTCTACATGGGAGACTAATGTAGGTTGGTTCAATTTTTGTAAGGGCATACCTTGAATTGTGAACAATTTGTAGTTTAGATGTGAGCAAAAACAACTAGTGCTTTACTCCAAATATGCTGTGGCATTGCAGCAGCACACAAACAAGCAGCTTTCCCGCAACTGATTACTGGGTTTTAATGTTGATTTCTATGACCAAGGTTAATGTCGGCTCCCTTTTTGTGTTGCTGAAGTAATCTGCTCTTTCTGAAAAGCTTCCCACAATTTACAAAAGAGAGTGGACAAAGAAGACCTGTCCTTACAAAAAGTGAGCCAGGCTGCCACAAGCTCCCATGTAAAGCATTTGAACACTCAGAAGCACCCCCGCCCCCCCCACCTCCCAGCTTAGAAATAGAACATTTATGTATAATCTCAGGGGAGTAAGGCAGGAGGCCTTAGACATTGTTTTGTAGAAATAATGTATTTCAGATATGCTCTGTGTGGAAGCTCGATCAATTAGAGCTCTAGATATTTGCTTGAAGGTCAATGAGATGATTTATCTGAAAAAAAATAGCTTTCTATTTGTCATTTTAGTCAGTATATGATACTATTTCTGCTGAAATTTACAAGGGATGGAGAACTTCTTGGCACTGCAACCATGCAAGAAAACAGGACAGTTTGATAATGACACAAATCACTGTGGGCTATTTCTACAACAATAAATCAGCAATATAAAGTCAGGATAATGATAGAATTTCTGCTTTCTGAGGCGTACATTTGTATTATGATATGGTTTTCAAATTATTTTTAGGAGCAAACTTGCCTTGTGATCTTTTTTAAAAAGATAAAAATTGAAAACTGTCAGTCATATTCATACCAATGCTGGCATCCTTCACTGAACTACTATATACCTGTTTTCTCTTTTGGCACCAACATTTATTTTCACAACAAACCTAACTCTTGGTTCATGGCCCTATATGTTTTTGGGAATTGCGCATGTTTAATTTCATGTAGAAACTTCTGAGTGAGAATATCGCAAATTTAAATGGGAATGCAGAAGACAGTTTGCACACAAACTGATTGCCAATTGTTTTCTGGGGGTGGGGGGGTTTGTTGGCCAGGATACCAGGAAAAACTCACTTTTCAAATTGTGCGATGGTATTCTTTGTGATGGTGGAGTCCTGTAGCATATTGGTTAGAGCACTCATCTCGCAAGCAAGAGGACCTAGGTTAGATTCCTGGGCAGGGTGAAATGTTAGGCAAGTTTCCTTACTCCACATGCCTGTTTACTAAGCAGTAAGTAGGAACCCAATTGTTAATCGATTGATGGATCGCTTTTCCAGGGATAATAATCTCTTAATAAAATAATATTAAATTTAAAAAAATAATAATTTGATCACTCAATCCACGACTGTATGTCAGACACTGCTGTATGCAATTGGCTGCCATGTTTAGCCCATAAAATATACAGTCAATTCACTTTACAGTATATTCTGTGAAACGCTTTGAGGCGTCTTGAAGACGTGATAAGGTGCTGTATCAAAATGCAAGGGTTATAAATGCAAGGATTATTATTATCTTTAATATCTTTAATATTCACCTGAATGAGCTGATGAGACCTTGGTTTAACACATCACCTGAAGAACAGCACCCTAAAAAATCAGCACCCAATCAATATAGTTTGCGAGTTCAAAATCCCAATAAAATGTTACTTTATAATCCAATCTAGTTTTGTGTTGCCATTTCACAATCTCAGTTGTGTTTGAAACTGCTGAAATCAGGGTGATTTATTCAAGTATGTCAAATTATTGTTTCAAACCAATAATATCTGTGTATGGAGAAAAATTCCACCTGGGTCTAGGTTTAGACTTTTTTATCTTCGTATTTCAGGGTGTGCAAATTTTGGATAATTCTTAAATTCATTCTTAATTTTAAAGCCTTTCAAGAATCAGCAGCACCTAAAAGAACTCACAGAAAGCCTACTGGCTTCAAAATTACAATTGTTTTGAAGAATTGTCCAAAATTAGCTTTTTCTGAAATGCTAAGGAAAAATATATACTCGCTTCCAGAAATAATAATCTCTAGAGTTTACCATGAATCTTGTGAGTCGTTTTGAGGCAGCCTCGTGAAAGGTGCTAAGGTACTATATCAAATTCAACTATTATTTTATATATTACAGCCATATCACTGCAGTTTAAGCGCTCCGGGACATTACTTCGCGTGAAAGGTGCTATGTAAATGCAAGTTGTTGTTGCTGTTGTTATTTATCATTTTTCCGGGGTTAATAATTCCTTTTTTAAAAAAAATTGGTCAATTGAATCCACGACTGTTTGTGGGACACTGCTGTGCGCAATTGGCTGCCGCATTTCTCCCACAAACTATAGTCAATTCACTTTACAGTATATTTTGTGAAGCGCTTTGAGATGTCTCAAAGACATGATAATGCTCTGTATCAATTGCAAGGATTATTATTATTATTATTTATAAGCACTTTAATTTTTAAACAAAATCTATAAAGATTAACTGCTGCAAACATAAAGGGAAAAAATAGTTTTTCCACAGCCTTTCATTGTGCATAGGACATACACTGTTTCCAAAAGCAACAAGGGAGTAGAGAACATTAACTATCTGCACCAGTGAGTTTCCTAAGTTACTGTCTCCACCCTTATTGAACAATACACTGGAAGTTAAAATGTTCCAAATATTAGACCTTAAAAATCCAATCTATGTGTTAGTACAAGTCAGCAGTTTACACATTGTAGTTGTATCCTAGTTTTGTTACAGCCAAACTCAAAGCCAATGTGCTGGCAAGCTGATAAAACATTCAAGATCAGCTAGTAATTTTGTGGGAAGTCACTTTTTAAAAATATATATTCTTTAACTTTTGATTAACAATGTTTGCATCTTTTATTTAATATACTCATAAATAAATGTACATGTGTTAATTAGGTAAATCAATACTAATAAACAGCACAGATTTAAGTGGAGTCAATTTATTTTGAAAATGCTTTAAGATGCAGTACACACTGCTGCCCTAGTGTCTGCTATTGCTATAAAATCAAAAATGTATTGTGCAAGTCTTCTTTTAATCCTCTGGTTAGAAGCACTTATTGTCAGTGTAAAGCAACTCCTCCCTTTCCTGTTTCTACATGTAATCAAGACAACAGCACACAGAAGAAATTTGCTTCACAATTGCATAAATGGAGAACCTGAAAATGCAAATCATGGTAATTATCCATGGGGTTTTAGTGTCTTCCCACCTCCTCATGGAGAGATATAGTCACCATATTATCATACACCTAGACACTGATTCAATCTATATTTGGAGTTATCCAGTCACAAAAGTAATGGTGTTCTAATGTGGAAGATTGGTTGAAAGATGGCTTTTAAAATTTGTCTTGTCTTTATATTGAAACTTCATGGAGATGAGTTAACCACTTTAAGGAAGAAATCCACACATGTCTGTTGTAAAATTTTATGTAAATTCTCAAGTGCATTTTGTTCACTTAGATCTTCCTTTTTGGAATGTAACGATCACACTGTTGTATTTTTCAGTCCGGTTCAGTTTGTAGCACTCTTGCCTCTGAGTCAAAAGGTTGTGGTTTCGAGATCCACACTGGGACTTTGAACTCGTATAATTTTGGCTGATATTCTACTGCAGTACTTGGTGGGGTGGTGGTGGGGGCTGCGATACTGTTGGAAATGTTGTCCTTTGGAATCAAAATAATTAAATCAAGACCCTGTCTGCTTGTTCAGCAGGATGTTAAAACATCCATGGCACTATTTGAAAAGAGAAAGGAGTTTCTCCCCATGTCCTGGTCAACGATCCTCCAAATGCAACTGTTTATTTTGTGGCTATTTGTGGGACATTGTGTGCAAATTGGCTGCCTCAACAACATACAGCCTAGACAGTTACTACACTTTACAGTAAATCATGTGAAGCTGAGTCATCCTGACATGAAAGGTTAAATGCGAGGATTGTTATTATATTACTATTTTTAGAAAAAACTTTGTTCTTTTAGAATTTGTACACTCAGTTTTATCAATACTTGGTTGCAGCATAATCATTGGTAACTAAAGTGTTTTTGCCCAATTTTGTCTGTAGCTATTGTAATACTAGTCACAATAGGTTGGATTGTGTATTCTTTTAATATTTCTGACAACTTAATGCTCTTGTTCTATCTTAAGATAATTATAAACAAAGCGGCTTGAGTTATAAAGGTGTGTTTTCTTAACAGATCGTAAAACTTGCCATTTACGGTATGCTGCCGAAGAATCTACATAGAAGGACCATGATGCAACGGCTACATCTCTTCCCAGATGAAGTAAGTCTAACAGATCTCAATGTTATTTTCGCTGTTAAACAACTAAACTCATTCTGTTGTTTCTTGTCATTTGGGAGTGAATATACATTAGACTTGCATGTAAGTGGGTAAGTTCGTCGAAAAGTTCCAAGATAAAAGTCAATTCTAACCGTATACCCCTATAGATGTGTGATGATCTCGGTAATTATGCAAACCAAAGCCCTGATGGGTAGGTTGGTCCTAGCTGGACAAGCAGTGGGAAAGCTTGCCAGAGAGCGATATCAATGGCAAGCTATGCAGTTTTAGCTGGTTAGACTCCAGCAGTAACCCAACACACACTTGGGTCCCCAAGCTTTGGCTCTTGACAACCTGCTCCTACTCCTTTTCAGAATTATGTAAGCAGGATGTGTCATTCCAGATAGAGAGTGTGCATTCCATTCCAACAATCTACCTCTTGGATTTCCAATGCATGGAATAGGATGCATGGAATTCTTAGTTGGGTTTGGATACTCAAGCATAGTGATGGGTTTCCGCATGTGTCAGGCACCCTGCTGTCCAAAACATAATAGATGTGTGATCCATATTTATGTCTTAAGCTAGGTTTCAGCAGCTGCAACATGCATATTAGGGAGCTATAGTCACAAAGTGAGACCTCTTACAACTTAATAACTCATCCGTTCCTTTTGTTCAGTGAACACTGGCTTGCTTCATGTCCTCAGTTCCATCTGCCCCATCGTTGTTCGGCAAACTTTCACCCATTCTGCTCCCTGGAACTCCATCCTTGAGTCCCTCACCCCTTCCCACCTAACTTTTAAAGCTGCCGCAAGACTTACTGCTCTGACCATGCTTTTGATTATCATCCCCACACCCCTTCAGCTCACCAGCAACCCCACCTCCCCTCCCAGCTTGGGTGCCCAGCTAACTGTGTAATGTGCTTTGAGGCATCTTCCCAACATGAAAGACACAATATAAATATAGGTTGCATTGTGAGAAAGGATGGCTTTACTGGCAAAAGACTTCAGAAGAATCTGCAGCTTGTTGGTTCAACAGCTGAAGAACACTTGGAGCAATTTTTCTTGGATGGGAAGATGAAACGATGATTTTAAAAAAACTGTCATTGATTCCTCTGTCATAGTCAAGCAGTGTTCATGAATTAATTAATCCTCTTTAGGGAAAAAAAATTATAATTGAAAACATGCATGTCTTTTACTGGAAAGAAAATTTTATATTGAATAGATTTATTTTCTAAAGGAGATACGCCTTTTATGGCAATGAACCTGTGTTGGATTTAATTTTCCTTCGGCGATTAAAATTTCGATGGGGTTCCAAGATGTGCCTTTAAAAAATAATGTCCTGTATCCTAAAGTTCCATACTTTGAATGTGTTGAACAATAGGTTTTAATGTGTTGACATTGGAGTCTGGAACATATTATGTTCTAAACACATTTGCTCATTTTTTAAGTGGATGCCTTGCTGTTGGCACGTCATCCCGATGTGAAAGGCACTATACACATGTAATGGATGTGTTGTTGGTGGTGGTTATATTTGTGTCAGTTTTGGGGCATCCGATCTCAAAAGGGGCAAAGAGATCTAATTTGTGGTAATTCACAAGCTGCATTTAGTATATTAACTGGTTAGTGAGTTTTCAAAGCCATTTGCTTTGTAAGATTTGGAATATATTTAACTACGAATCTCCCAAACAATCAAAGTGGGGAAATAAAAAGACAACGTAAAAAATGGGGTGGGGAGGTCGAGTAATGCAAATTAGACCCCAAAGTTTTGGAGAGGGATTGGAGAAGCACAAGGATCATTCTGGGACATATGGCTTTAGATTTATGAGAGGTGGGTCAAAAATGTTTTTTTTGGAGAAAAGAATATTGAAGGGTTATTAAGACTTATTAAGATAATGAAGACTTATTAAGCTCTGAGAGGCAACAGTTGTGTATGCTGTTTGGCTTGCACTGTGATCACAGAGCTAGAGGATACAGGTTTAAAATTAATATGTGTCAAGTAAGACTGCAGAGTGGAACAAATTCTGTCCCACACACAGAGCAGTGGATAATAATAACTCTTGCATTTGATGATGGATGTGATGGGTGTTGATCACATCCATCAAAAGAAAGTTGGATAAATATTTGGATGGGAATGAGATTGGGGTTTGTATAGTTGGGTGTAGACTTGCACGATTGAATCCTGCGTGGATACAATGGTTCCTGTGCTACTATTTTACTTGGCACCCGGTAGATCAAGGTTGAATGGGGAAGATAAGGATGTGGATAAATATTCTGAGGTTTTTCTTAGTTACTTTAGGTTAGGGAAATGATTCATTATTTAGAATGTTTCTGCTGGAGACAAAATTGGTGGTGTTCACAATAAGGTACATTGAATGTGCTCTGTGAAAGTAATAGACTTGATGAATCAAATCAAGGATCTTCCTCTTTGACGGTGCTTACGGTCACCTCTTCCCTCCCCCCGGCTGGGCATCAGGCTTCCCCATTGTTAAGCGCTCTGAGACTCTACCCTGCATGAAGGCCATTATATAAATGCAAGTTGTTATCAAAATGTTCTTTTTGTGTGTTCGATTCTTTCTTGCATTTTATTCTTCTTCATAATTATTTTGATTGAGTTGCAAGTACGATTATCACTATTTGTATAACAATGATAATAAACTTTATATTTGATGTAGCTCCTTTCAGGTCAAGAGCGCATCTCAAAGTGCTTGACAGTTATCGCAACTGTAGTGACTGTTTAAGAATATAGTTGTCCAGCAAATTTACATTGGAGGCTTTTTTTTACTGTACTTTTGAAAGTACTATATAAATTGCTCTACCTCTGGCACAAAATATGTGCAAGCCTTCCCATATTTAAGCAAACTCACCCCTCATTCTTGGCAGTATAAGCCCAGTCAGTGTAAGAGATCGCTATTAAACTAAAGGAAATACTGTATTTCTTTCCACTTCACAATCGAGATATTATTCACCTTAATGAGTCTACATTACTGCAGTGCAACCCCATGCCTCCTTCTATTGCCAGATATGTGGGATGAAAAATGGTTCAATGTGCAAGTGGAACTGTTTAAATATTAATGGACCTGAAATTGTGAAAACAAAGTAGTTGCCTGGACTTTGGTTAGTTCATAATGTAAACTACAGTATTGCAATCCTCATATTAAATTAAATCATACATATATTTCTTTCAATTGTATTTGAGAATATTTTGCTTTTTGCTTCATTTTAGTTTTTGTTTGTGTATAGAACTGTAAAACTCTAAAGCAGGGGCTGTCCAAATCTCTGCCAATTTTAATTTTACTGTTAAAAGCAACTTTTAGATATTTGATTCACAGACACCATGCACAGACTGTGGGCTGCAAGTCTCATACACCAATCTCTGAAGTACTATGAATTTGTCTCCTGCCAAACCACAAAAGTATTACAATTCTTTTTCAGACTCAATGTTTTAAAGAAAATTTGGATACCAGTAGCATTGGCTTTTTAAACCTGTTATCCAGCTGTGATAGTGCTGAATAACTAAGAATTTTGATGAGAGGGAGTTACAGTTACCAATTTAATAGGAATTGTTTTCATTTTACTCCAGTTAGCAGTGAGTACAGCTGTACAGCAATACCACAGTCCAGATCATTTTAAGGGTAATTTATACTGATAGTACCTTGACCATTCTTCATTATCCTGCAGTTAATGGAATGCTCAGTGCAACTCCTAAGTGTGCAATTAGCATTTTTTCACCTTCTTGAATTTTTTTAATTACAAGAATGTGACAGTAATGATAGAAAACTGCCCAGGTGACAGAAAATAGAAAGTGCGGGTAAATTGATGTCCTTCAAACTGGACTATACAGAAAAGAGCCCAATAACTAATTGGTGTCAGCCCTATTGTGAATATGCAATATTGTGGAGTCCTGTAGCTCAGTGGTTAGAGCACTCGCTTTGCAAGCGAGAGACCTGAGTTCAATTCCAGGCAGGGCGAAACCTTGGGCAAGTTTCCTTACTCCAAACGCCTAATAATAATCCCTCCAAAACCAAAAACAATAATAAATTGGTCACTTCAATCCACGACTGTTTGTGGGACATTGCTGTGCGCAATTGGCTGCCGCGTTCGCCCACAAATATAGTCAATTCACTTTACAGTGTGTTCTGTGAAGCGCTTTGGGACGTCCTCCTGACGTGAAAAGCGCTATATCAAATGCAACGATTATTATTATTATTATTATGCAGATAAAGCAGGTATCTGGGTATCACACAGAATAAATTGTACGGTACTAATCAAAGCCTCACAGCAAGAGATTGGCTGTCCATACAACAACAACTTGCATTTATATAGTGCCCTTCACACGGGGTAGCGTCCCGGAGCGCTTAATGCGTGCACACGGGATCAGCCTTTTTATTTTCTCTGTTTCTATCTTTATATTAAGTCTCTCCCCACAAAGTGACAGCTCTTCTTCTCCCCCCTACCCCACCACTATACAGTGGTTCTGCCTCTCTTTCTGACTCTCTGCCTTTCTGACTATCAATTTTCTAAGTCTGACTCTATGACTATTCTTATATGTCTCTCATTCTCTAATCCTGTGATTAACCATACCAGTGATCACCTCGTACAGCCAGATCACTGTTGTAATCGGATAAAATCGTACACTGTTCCATATTACGTTGCATGCAACTAAAAATGTTCAGACTTTTCAGGACTTATTTCACTTCTACGTATAAACAAGGGTCTTCTTCCAGTTCATCAGGTCACCACCAAAATCACTTCCAGCATCACCCTTTAAAGAACTTACAGAAAACCAGCATCAAAATTAAAATAAGTGGAATAAATCTAGACCCAGGTGGAATTTCTGCCCAGGAATTCTCTACCAAAACCAGTGGTTGAAGCAGAATCCATAAAAGTGTTTTTTTTGGTCAGCCGGGTATCTGATGCATGAGGAAACCTATCACCATGCTTAAGAGTATCCAAACCAAGCTGAGAATTCCATACATCCCAGCTACACACAGAAAATACAGTGATAGA